GTTTTCTATGGCGATTTTTTATAATTACATTTAAAACATTTTAAATGTAAACAAACTAATCTGAGAACTAATTTGCTTCTATAAATATTTTAGAAATTTTCATGGTTTATTCAACTGTGTTAACAAGAATCAGTCCAACATAACTAGAATCTTTAAAATTCTTTAAGTAAAGTAATTTTTTAAGTCGAGTAATTCTTTAAGTTGATTTTAAATCTTCTTAAAAAGTAACTGAAAGTAGAAACTATTTAAACTTTTAACTAATTCTTTACTCCGTAAATCGGGGCTATTTGGAAAGTGTCAGGAAATAATTATTTATTATTAATTATTATCAACTATTATTATTAATTATTATCATCAAATAGCTATTTTTTCAATATTTTTATTAAACTATTTGTCTGTTGTTAAAAAAACTACTATTATCTTTATCCGTATATCTGGTGTTATCTTTATCCGTGTTGGATTAAAATTTGCGAGCAAAAGAATCATATTTTTTAATTTGAAAAAATTACATGACTAACTTCATGCCTGAGCAAAAAATAATGAAATAGTAATATTTTAATGACCTTACAATAAAAATATATAATAATCTGACAATTTAAATTTGACAATTTAATTAAAATATAACAAAATAATTCATAAAATAATTTGAGATTTATTCCGAGGGGCTGTTTGGAAAGCATATTGGGGTTATTTGGTATTAAATCTTTTTTTTTTTTTTTTTTTTTTTTTGAGGTCCTTACGAAGTCCTTACGGTCTTATCACAAAACACAACAGAAGAGTATTTAAAAATTTAATCGGAAGTTCACGCCTCCTTCCTAACCGATATCGCAAAACATGCCATGAAGTAGGCTTTGAACTACGGATTCTTTGTTTCTGAGTCAAGTGCGCTACCGCTGCGCTACCGCTGCGCCACGGCTGCTCATTAAAGGCGTGGTGAAAATGTAAACATTGAACTTCAAAAATTAAATATATCGTTTAAAACAAATAAGTTTCTACTAAACATAGAAAAACAAATTAAACTTTATTTCATTTAAAGTAGCAGAGAAATGAACAGGGTTGAACTTTACCCTCTCTAAAAATAGAAAAATGATTATTTGAAGATCTCAGGAGACTAAATTTTTGGAGTTGTTTTTATCAAGATCTCAGGAAATATGTTGAGTTATGCTATTTTAAAACACTCAATTTATATTTAGAATAAAAAAATTCTTCAAACAAAAAGATCTCAGGAAACTAAATTTTTAGGACTTCTTAAAACATCTCAATGGTCTCAATTAATTGTTAATGTAAAATTTTGTATTTTTGTGCTATAATTTAAATTTTTGTGTTTCATCTCAAATGTTTCACCTATCTGCATTATCACCAATGATGAGACAAACTTGAGAGATGTTCCTGGGGCCAAAAAAATATGTTTTTAAACAACGTACCAAGTTTCCCCAAAGATTTTTAAATACTTCTAAAGCCTCTACAAGTTTGATGTGTGCAGGGATTGTTAATGGTGCTATTTTACCCATTTACATTGTTTATAAATCAAAACATCCGCGGGATATCTGGTGGAGGGTGGACAAGATAAATTTGTTTATAAAAAAAGTAAAAGTGAATTGTCTTTACATTAAAAATTGATTTTTCAAAATAATTATTCCATAAATACAAAACAAAGAAGGAAATAAACTATCGTTAGTGACAATTTATCATCACACTTCTCTGAAAAAGTGCTAAATGCATGTGATGAGTATAATATCACACTCATCTGTCTTCCAGGTAAAAATGCTCATTTATTACAACCATTGTTACTTTTTTTACTCCCTTTAAACATTATTGGAGGTTGATACTTACTGAGTGGAAAACACATGATGGAAGGAAACAAAAAAACTTCACCAAATTTCAATTTTTCACATGTTTTGTCTCAGTTAATGGGCAAAAGGTCACAAGACATCATCTCTAAATAAACCATAATTTATGGTTTCAAAAAATGTTGCATATATCATTTAAACAAAGACCATCTAAAGTCAAAATTACCACTGTCAAATATTCGACAACCAAAGAGTGGAACTCAATACATCAAATATATCAATAGACATACTAAAAGATATGCGACGTGGCAATAAATTCCCAGGCGTAAACATTGCAATATATCACCAGGAAAATGAAATAGTGTTAAGGAAATCTTGTTCCAAATATCTCCTGTTAGTCCGAAGAAGGTAAAAATTATAGAAAAATCAAACTTTATATATAAAAAAAAACCCATCAGAAAATGCAGCTGCTTCCTTTGACATTATAGAAGAATTTTTTTTGCTGACGAATTTTTTGCACCCTAAAAAAAAAGAGCAAGATTATCATTATTTAATAATCTTGCTAAATGTATTAATAGAAGCTCAGAAAAGCTGGAAACTTTTAAAGAAACTAAAATACATTATATTAGTGAAACTGTTATTTTAAATTATCAAATTCGTACTCTCTTGTTATCATTGAAGATTTTGAATGTAACATCTATTGGTACATTTTTTAAAGGAAACCATCGTGGAAAAGAAATAAAATTTATTACTTTTTATACGATAAGATATAATAGTTAAATAAGCTCTTCTTTTTGAAAAACTAATTAATTAAATTCTAATTGAAAGTGGGGATGGTTTTTTTTACTTGTTTGATAAGGAAGAGAAAGAATTTCTTTAAAAAAGAATCAAACATTTGATTTTTAAACCAAACCTTCAATTATCACACTTTTTTGTTGCTTTAAATATACTTTATCTTTATTAGAATTTTTGTTTGTTTTTGTTATATTACCTGGATTTGTATGAGTATAATTATTTGGAAAATATTCGTAAAAAAACGTTTCATTTTTAGTTGATTTGCTTAAAAATAACGATATTTTGATGAAAAAAAATTTATATAGTTCTACATTTCCAAATTGCCCCTATGTCGGGGTTATTTGGAAAAGTGATTAAAAATGACTCCAATCCTTAACTATAGTTTAATTTGTCAAATCTTAAACAAAAGCAGAGGTGATTCTACGGGTGTGTGTGTTGGGTATTCCAACCCTTCAGGGGCGGCTTTTGTCACTCGCCAAGGAGGGAACTAAAAAGGTCTTTAAAAAAAAAAGGTTCGCATACTTTTATTTATAAGTAAAAAAGTCCTAAGGAGGGGGTTATTACCCCATGACCCCTTCTCCTAAAACCCGCCAGTGGACCCCTCCCCCCAAAGTAGGTGATTTTCAGTTATAGTTGGCTAAATCGGACAAATTTGATTCCATTTTTATGATGAGGGAAATCCTAAATCTACAAAAAGAAACAATTTTATTACTTTTTGGAGAGTTTATATCAAGCATAAATCAAAAGTTTGATAAATTTCAAACAAGTTTTCCAGATGTTCAGCGCATACTCAACGAAATAAAGTCAGGATTGAGTTATGTTGACGATCAGAGGCGATTGTACAATAAAATGAGGGGGGGGGGGGGCAAATCCTCAAAAACTACCGACTACTCGGTGTAGTTAAGGCACTTTTAAAATATTATAGCGTCTGGATGATATTTTGTTGACTACGACATATTTCCGTTGAATGGTCTGGTCTGTGAATTATGAAAAGACGAAAAATATTAAAATGATAAATTTTGCGGTATCACAAAATATAAATGTTTGTAGCAAAAAAACCTAGATTCTTTTTTTTTAAAAAAAAACCATCTTAAAATCACAATCGCTCATCCAAACTTGAATAAGAATTTAAATTTATACGTTTTTTAGATGAAATGAACATTATAGTTTAACAATATGATCGTTTCTGATTGTTTATTTGGCAATTTTCCATAATTTTAAACTCTTTCCTGATCGGAATTCTAGTATTTTTTATGAAAATTGATAGAAATATTGTGTTTTTACATCTATATATATAGTTAATATACGTCAGAACCAATTAGAACTAGGATCAGTAGCAAAGTAAGAAACTTTTTCAAAAGATTTTAACTAAATTCACGTTACATGAATTTAGTTAAAATCTTTTGAAAAAATTCTTTCCCCCAAAAAAAATCGCCTCTGTTTGTGGTGTATGTGAAGACAAAGCTAAAGCAGTGGGCAAAAAATAAATAAGATTTGTGAAGATTTGACTAATGTCAGAAAAATATCTTCGGACCATACCAAACTAAAATCAAAGAACGTAGATATTGACCCTGAAAATAGAAACAGATGAAATAACCTAAGAATCAATGAGGTTATAAATTCGAGCGATGAAAAAGATTGGGATATAACTCAAGAAAAAATAAAGCAACTTTTTAACGTACAGCTTGGAATCGAAAAAAATATAAAAATTGAATGAGCTCATCGAGTGGGGCTTGCTAAAGTAAATCAAGAGCAAACAGTTGTTATGAAGCTTCGTGATTATGAAGATAAAAAAGTAATCTTAGAAAAAGCAATGGAATTAAGAAGTAGATATTTTTTTATAAATAAAGATTAAATATTTACGACTGAAAAAAAACAAAAAGAACTTTTTGAGGAGGCCAAGCTGCATCGACAAAATGGCCATAATGCTAAAGTCGTGTACAATAAACTTATTGTTCATGAATTTAAAGAAAACATCCACAAAGTAGTTGTTAACGCGACGCACGGAAATGAAAAAGTAGACCGCAGCGCAGCTGTTAACTTGATGCACAGAAACGATATTTGGTCTGATTTAATATACGATATTTCGTCTGATTTAATGCGCGAAGTTTGGAAAGTCAGACGAAAAAACTTAGGTTAAAAAATCATGCAGAAAATTTTTCTTGAAGATCTTTAAAGATAGGGGTACTAAATTGCTTTCGTAAAAAGTTAAACAAAATGTATGAATTAAAAGAAATTTAATTTATTTTTTACTCTAAAACATCTGTTTTTTAATTATAACGCTACTGTAAAAACCTAATTTGAACTAAACTTAAGTTTTTTAAAAAAGTTAGAAAATAAACCATAAAACCCCCTAAAAATTCGCAATATTCCATTGTTGTTTTCTAACAATTAATTAAAGCCGCTGGAACATACATGTCCCGGTAGATTGTAAAATGCAGTAAAGCAAAAATTCTCGCAAAAGTTCACGGGTAAAAAAGTCAGACGAAATATAGTCTAAGAAACGAGTAAGCTTTTTTAAAGTTTTGGTTTAGTTTATTGTTTTTATGTAAAAATTGTTTATGAAATCTTTTTAAATTATTCTTTAAAAATGGCTACGCATTTTGAAAATTTAGACCCTTTTGAGGGTAACCTTATAAATAACCTGTCTTAAGACAACATAAACATTTTTCAGGAAACTTAAATGAACTTAATTGAAGCACTATATTAATCTATTTGATTTTAAAATATTAAACTTTCATTGTTCTTTTTCAGTTTTACATATAAACATTAGAAGCGTGCAGCAAAGTTTTGAAAAACTTAAAGATTTTTTAAATATTATAACTTAGACGTTGGACGTCATAGCTCTTTCAGAGATTTCGCATGATTTTGAAAATTCTCTTGAATTAAATTCTATTTTTAACTTGCCATTTTATAAACTTATTAGATAAAAAACTGTGCTTCTAAAACGATTATTATGAAAGCCTATTTATTAAGGAGATAGAGCACAATTAAAATACAAATTTTTGATCAAAATATAAATTTTTTTTTTTAATATATCTTATTCAAAATTTTGTCTTCTTTTTTTTTGATGTATGTATGGAACAGAATTTATTTTTGGAAATGTGATAAAAATCTACATTTGCATTACTATTTACCTTAGCAACGCCGTAGCAACGACAAACGTTTGTGGTTTGTGTGTTTAAACATACCTTCGTTTATTATATGTTGAGCAAAACTTGCAGGCTAATTTGTCTTTTTGTTGTGTCTATCATGCTTTTAATTGTTTACTTAACAAATTTGCTTTTCAAATTCAAATGTTGAGAATTTTGATGAAGCACAATTCTTCGGGTCGAAGGTCACGTGGTAAATCGGATTTTTATAGCTACCATTTTGGACTAGGGAAAACAAACGGTTAAAGTACCGTAAAAACAACAAGATTAATATCGTTTAGCTACTTCGTAAATTTAAACTCATTCAAATTAATATACAAATGTTAACTCATTCAAAAGTAATTATTTTAAGTAAGTTTTATGATTTTCTGTTTTATTACTTAAGTTACTTGTTCTATTACTTAAGTTACTTGTTAACCTGTAAAAAAATCGTTGTTAATTTTATTTTTTAAGTTTATTATAAAAAAATATTTCAAGCTTAATTTTGAATAAAAATTAACAAATAAATTACTTTAAACCCAAAATAAAAAATAAAAATTAAAAATGAAAAAAGAAAACATCCTTTAAAATCCTTTCTTTATTCCTGTTTGTATTTTTTTTTCTGTTTAAAATTTATGTATTTTTCTTAAACTGATCAAAATAAAAAATGTTTAAGACATAAAAGTTTAGACATAAGAGATATAAAAATGTAGCAAATAAATAAAGACATAAAACTTGAATTGTAAAATGTTTATTAAAAGACTTAATGTTTCCTAAGTATTCAATTATAGCTAGTTATTTGCTCATGTCTTTTTTAAAAAGTTGTAAATAAAAAAAACCATAAAAAGTTTTTATGGTTCGAATTACAATCTACAATTAAAACATTAGGCCTGCAATGATAAAATTAAAAATGAATTCTCTGAAAAAGACATAGTTGATTAGCAATTCGATAGAATCTTTTTTTTTTCCTTGCTCTAGCCTATTTGTAACTATCTCAAAATTAAAATCATAAAGATTTACTTTAAAATCTTAAAAATTTCGAGTAAGTTTTCGGTAATGAATTTGCAGTGGACCTTTATAGTTACACTGTTCATTAGGATTTTGCTCAACAGTTACATAGTGGACCAAAAGCGGTAATCGATAAAAGTGGCAAGCCAATAAATTTATAACACGTTATTTTTTAAGTAATATTACTTATTGTTATATGCTGTAATATGTTTTTTGTACTGACTGTAACATTTTGCTCTTGCTAATAAGATTCTATAAAGATTTCAAAGCAATTATGCATGTTAGTGTAGAAAACTTTGTCTTGAAAACAGGTGTTAATGTTTTATAAATATCAGTTCTGGCTTGCATTTTTATCAGACACTTTAGTTTTAAATACGTATCAACCCACTTACAAATAGCTAATTGCTGTAGTCTTACTGATGTTACATATATAAGCAAGCATTTTAAAAGTAAGGTTATATTTTAATTTTATCAAAGTCAACAATATTTGATCATTTAAGGCTAACTTTTTAGAATAATTTTTTCATCTTCACTTAAATAATCCATTATTACTAACAAAATATAACCCTGTAAACATTTTTCAAGATTTTTTTTCAGCATCTCAATTGTAAATGGAGCACATATGTTCTCGTCTCCAAATACTAATTCTTTCACATATTACTCTTAAACTATCCATTTCCTTATAAAAGCTTTCTCTTTCTAACAATGGAACTGGAGTTAGTGATGATATCAATGATTGTGCAGCTTAGTGTAATGTTATTTCGAGGAGTTAACGAGCTTTAGAAGCATAAAAAATCTGTTGGTTCGCCTTACGACTCATCTTTTTCATTGAAATCAGTTTATAATTCAAACGTTTTTGTTAAAGTTAAAAATTATTAGATAAAAAAATTATTATTTGATGCAATTTTTTGCATCAAATAATAATTTATTTCAGGGAATTAAAAAAATATAAAAAAAGAGTGTAAAAGTTGAAATAAAAAACAAAAAGCAATATTTCAAAAGCATATTTACTATAAACTATAAATAAATTAAAATGATCAAAGAAATGCTAATTTTATAAAATTTAACATAAAATTCTTGTTTTTGAATAATTTTAATATAATATGGTAAAGCAAACATTTTAATATAATTTAGTAAAAACAACTTTAATTTAGTAAAGCAAATAAAAGATTATTAAACACAATATATCATAGTAATGTTTCATTATGATATACCGCTATATAACTGTTATATATTGTTGTTATTATTAACAGCAATATACAATGATTCATATATTTTTTATACAACTTCTATGCAAATTTTCTCCGTTGTTTTCTTTAATTTTTTTATTTTAATGACTAAAAAACTATAAAATATGTGTAGTGAAAAAAGTATAACAATCATTAAATTATGTTGTATAATTGCGGAATGTATTAGAGTTTAAATGTCTAAGGTGTAGTGAAAAAAATATAAAATTTATAATCATTAAACTATGTTTTATAAACCTTACTTGGTTCGCTAACTATTTTGCTTTATTTTATATCTGTCAAGCCCCGTATATCTAAAAAATGATGTTTGTTTTTTAAATTGTTTTTTTGTCCATATAACTGTATTTACCTAATATTATTATAACTATTACTTTAAAAAAAATTAAAAAAAAAAAAATTATTTATTATTTTAATAAATTACCAAAACTAAAACACACCAGATAAATATTGTTGTGAACAGACATAATGATACTTTGTTTTGGGGGGCTATAATAATTTGTTTTGGGGGACTATAATAATTTATTTTGGGGGACTATAATACTTTGTTTTGGGGGACTATAATAATTTGTGTTGGGGGACTATAATAATTTTGATTTGATAACTAGTAGTTATCAAATCAAAATTAGAGTCTTCAAAAATCAAAGTATCATAATGTCTGTATAATAATAACAGCAATAATAACAATAATTATAATAATTATAATTCACTAAGTTAAGATTTTACATACTTCCATATGAAGATATTAGAAGGAAAGCATGGTTAAAGGTAATAAATTGTGAGCATGTTGACAAAAATGAAGTAATTAAACTACTCCATTTTTGTCAACATGCGCCCGATTTATTACTTTTAACCATACTTTCTTTCTAATATCTTCATATGGAAGTATGTAAAATCTTAACTCTGTGAATTATTATTGTTTGAAACGAGAAAAACACACAGTTACTTCGAGGCATTATTCATGCATATATGTTCCTGATTCAATAAATATATTTGTTTTCCCTAATCCATAATGGTAGCCCATTTTCTCGATATTCGTGACGCGACTCCGACCCGAAGGATTTAAAGATTCATGTTGTTATTGTTGTTTATTTTTATTTTATTTATTATCGTTATTTTTTTATTTGAATTTTCATGCTATATATTTTTTTGATACAATGTTATATTCGAAGATAATATTGGCTTAGCATAGGAACAGCCACAAATAGTCACTAAGACTAATCCCAAGTAGCGTCCGTTATTGTACAACATTTTTGCGTAGAGAAGTATTACTCAAGCGCTGAGTTAATGGTGGCAAGATTTGAACCCGTATCGTACAACTGTCTGGGTTTTAACTTTTCGTTTGACGCTCAAACCAACTGAGCTATCCACCCACTATTGTTTTTATTGTTTTCTCTAACCAACTGCCATTATTTTATTAGACCCTATTGTTGTTAATATTGTATTAGAGATTTATTAGTAATTAGTAATAAATTTAAGATCTATAATAAATAACAAATAAGGAAGAAAATGAACTCTAAAAAAATAAATAGACAAAATATCAACAGAAGAAAAATGAGAGCATAGAGTGGCATAGTTCCAAAGAATGTTGAAGTTTTTGATGATTCTTGTATCAAATCTATATGTTCAAGTGAAAGGAAACTTTTTTTAAAAACAATAACTAAGTTTTCTACTAATTCTTCTCCACAAACAGAAGACTATTTTATTATTTTTATTGACTCAAAAGTATTTTACAAACTCTTGTATGTCCAGAATGTTTTTGTATTGTTGTAAATTGTTGTAAAAGGTGATGTTTTAAAAAGACAAGGATTCTCTCATGTTCTAACAATATATGGTTGCAGAATGTGGATAGGAAAAGAAAATACAGTTAATTATAATCATTGGAAAATTAATCATTACTAACAAATTAACCATAATGTGTTTTCAGGTGCAATGGAATCAGGTGAACCAGTTGACATTTTTAAGCGTTCTGTTTTAAAGAACACTCTTATTTATAAGGAATATTTAGAAGATGGTGATACAAGTTCTTTTATGGATTTAGTAAAAACCAACCCATATAGTGAATATGATATAACACTAATAAAGTTGGAGTGTATTGCTCATCTCCAAAAACGATTAGGTACTCGATTGCGTAACATTGTTAAGTCTCATAAAGGCTCTGAAACACTTCTCTCGCGAAAAGGGAAACTTACTGAAAGTAGTATTAACTCAATGCAGAACTCTGCCATTTAACATTTCAATGATGGTTGAAATGTTACGTATTTAAAGTATTAAAGCATTTTGATATACAAGGAAATGTTACAACAAGTTTAGCAGAGTAAAACAAATGAAACGTATGACTACTATAAGGGTAAAGAAACAGAGAAAAAAATTAAAAGCAATAAAAAAAAAGGATTCAGTAAAAATCTTCAAGCAAAGAAACCTCAAGACTCATATGTTTTAGAAGTTTTTACTGTTTAAAATGTGATTTTTTCTTTATTCTGTACTTATTTTTGTTTTTTCTGCTAGTTGAGTTTTTCATATTTTATTAAGATTTCAAAACATGACTTTTTCTGATTGAATAAAATTTTTGTTCTGAAATTTTCAGGACACATTCCTAACAACATTAGAATTCATTTGACTGATGGAATTAATATAATTATTTTTTAAACTCGTTATTTTTAGTTTTAAGTTCTTTAAACTGCTTGTAAATCGTACAAAATTTAACTTATCTTAAAAAAAAGGTCATATCTTTACATATAAAAGGACTAATTAAAAATCTATCTATTAAATGGAGTAAAAATGGAGTTCATCAACAGATCTGCAAAGTTTAATTCATGTTTTTTAAGTCTTTCTTTACACTATTTTTGCGCCACTATGGATTTTTGGTAAAGTTTCAATTTTTTTTTGCAAAAACATTTTATTTTTTTTTAACGAAGCATTTCTGCATATTTTTAAAACTTTTTTAAAAATCTTTCATGAAAACTTTTTTTAAAATTTTTCATGAAAACCTTTTTTGTACTCTACCACCTTAAAATTATAAATAAAAAATTTTAAAATATTTTAATTGGATGCGTTTATCGTCCAAAAAGTGGTATAATCAAATCATTTAAAACTTTTACCAAGATAGATGTCAGGACACTAAAAGCTTTCAATAATTTTATAAATATATTTCTAGAGTGTTTTAATGAAATCTATCATCAAAAGGACATACAAATCAAGACTAAAACAGTTGCTAATCCGTGGATGGATCATTGCTCATAAAATACTCAAAAAAGAAGCTAAAACTCTTTAGTAAATTTCTAAAAAATAAAACCACAGATAATGAGAAAAACTTTCATCAAAAAGATTCGTTTGATTTATTCTTATTTGATTAGCGCAGCGGTTTTATGCCCATTAGGGTATTTGAATTAATGTCTATATTCTATTGAAAATATATATCGGAGCTTTATGAAAAGATTGCAATGACGTATTGTCATCTTCGTCTTCTTTAAGCTTCTGTCTGTTTAATTTATTACTTTTTAAAGATCATTGTAAAGAAGAAAATTTAATATTTTATACTGAAAATAAAAAAATGGTGCTTATTGTCAAGATTTTGTTAAACAGCAAAATAGATGAAATTAAAAAAAAAAACAAAAACTTATTGAAATGAATATAGTGACCGAAGTTATGAGATGATATAGAAAATTCTAACTACTCGGTCTAGTTAAGACGATTTACAAATTATTCGAATACTTTTATTTGGAATTAGCATGATTTTATCAACCTATTATGTTCAAACAAAAGCTTTAGATGGTATAATTTTTTTTGCTTCAGGTTTTTTTAATACTTAAGGAAATTTTTCTTTTTTTTAATATAATTTTCAAAACCTTTTTACTACCCGTAATAGTGAGTCTAAAGAACACTATTATGGAGTCTTAAGATAAATTCCACTCATCGGCGTTAACGTGAATTTTGTTAAAATCTTTTAAAAAAGTTCCTTAATCTACTACTGATCCTAATTATAATCCGTTCTGACGTAGATTAACTATATATAGTTGTCAAAACACAATATTGCTATCAATTTTCATAAAAAATACTAGATTTCCGACCAAGAAAGAGTTTATAATAATGGAAAATTGCCAATAAACGATCAGAACAGATCAAATTCTTAAATTATAATGTTCATTTTATCTAAAAAACGTATTAATTTAAAATCTTGTTGAAATTTGAAGGAGCGATTGTGATTTTAAAATGGTTTTTTAAAAAAAAAAAAAAAAAATATTCGGTCTGGGTTTTTTTGCGGCAAACATTTATATTTTATGATACCGCAAAATTTATCATTTTAATATTTTTTGTCTTTTCATAATTCACAGACTAGACCTTTTAACAGAAATTTGTCGTAGTTAACAAAGTATCAAACAGACGCTATATTATTTTAAAGGTGCATTACCTACACCGAGTAGATGTTCTTATTTGAATTAGAATATCGAATGCTTTACTTTTTATGTTTTTATTTTTACAATATAAATTTGGTTAGATTAGCGTTATATGAGCACCTTAAGCGAATATTAGAGTATTTTAAAAAATAATTATGCTACATCCAAAATTTATGCGAACAAACAATTTTTGGGATCCCTACTCATGATCCACTTAGATATTTGGGCACTCAAGATTTTTTCTTAAAAACACAGATGTTTTGAAAAGGTAGCAAAAGGGCTCATTTTACCCAGACCACTTGGCAATATGAGCACTTTAAATTAGCTCAAAAAATAACATCAATTAAATAAAAAAATACCAATTTGACAATTAGAACTAATTTTTGGAATATAATGATTCGTTATAAAAAGATAAAATTTTAATGATTGAAAGATCAAATTTTAAGCCAAATTTTGTTGAAACAATCCTACTATGTTTTCCGCAAAAAAATAACAAAAAAATTAGTTCGTTATATTTTCAGTTTTATTAAATCAAAGCTTTAAACGATAAAAGTTCAAATTACAGAAAAATAATTAGTATTGCTGTATGTTTTTTTATTCAGAATGAAATTAAAACCACTGCTATTTTAGGACTTTAAACTAGGTAATTTCAAGAAAAAACACTGTGTAACTTGAGCATCCTCATATTGTACAAAAATGGCATCTTTAAATAAAGTCAAAACTAAATATTTCTATGCATTGTTTTTCAAACAAAAATGGATTGGATTTTTAGCTATCATGTTTTTCTTTATGACAATTCTTATTTTAGCACAAAAATTTCGCGCTACAGGTTTATTTATGCATGACGATATTTTTTAACAACGCAAAAAATTCAATAGTATTTTAATTAGTTGAAGCCGTTAAATACTGCAAATAATTTACTCTAATTGTACTGATTCCTGTTATCACCTCCTAATGTCGATTCAAAAAATACAAAGCAACTTTAACTTCACTGCTTACAAATAAGAAATCTTTCCAAGGTGCTCATATTACAATAATCTACCCTAACGATAAAGTTTTCTGTATAAATCAAAAAAAATAAATTGAATAAATGTTGTTTTATAAATTTATTTAACCCTTTTAAATAACTCCAGTAAAATGCTTGGTTTGACTTCTTTACTTATATCTATCTTATATTTACTATCCAATGAGGCAAAAATATTTAGTTTATCAAGTCAGAAATTAGTTTTCTGTAATTATTATAGTTAATTTTACGTATTAATTTTAAGTGTAAAGAAATTAAAATATTTTATAAAAACAAAGTTAATTTAGTGCAGGATCCCATGGAAACTCATAGAAGATTAAAAAAAATTTTTTTACTCATTAATTTTAACAAAAGTATAGAAACTAAACTTCAAAAGTAGTTTGAAATTTAATTAAAGACGTCTTTTATAAAAACAAATTTAATTTTGTATCGGTTTCCATCAAAACTTTTGAACATACGTTTAACTTAACAAAACTTATATACGTACGTTTAAAAGTTTCAGTAGATACTTATAATATATATTTTTTAATTTTCTGTATTAGGTGGCCCAAGAAGACCTAAAGGTTTTGTCATAGAGCACCGCGTAAGAGCATGTAACTTATAAGCTCACGCCTCATTCCTTACCGATGGCACAAAATAGGCCCAGAGCTCGCTTTTCACTCTGGATCTATTACTTTTAAAACAAGCGCTCTAACCATTGTGCCACGGCCGGTCAATTTAAATATCGCCTTTTCATGATATTGGGAGGCTGAATAAGTGTGAATTTTATAAGTGCGAACTAGCATAAGTGCGTCAAAAGAATTAGCAAATATTGGCATAAGTGCAAACCGAAAAATACTAATAAAGAGAGCAATTTCAACTCAAGTGTCAAAGAATTTGTCACAAATTCAAAAACCTTGATTTTGTCATCGATGATTAGTCATATTTTACATTAAAACTTACAAATAAAAATTCTAATGCTGGGTTTTACTCAGATTATCCAAAAAATGTATCAAAAATGTAAAATAAACTGCAAAAGCAAATTTGAAAAAAAAAATTCTAGTGTTGATTTCCATATCCTCTCGTGGAATCTATTAACCTTTTGTTGTTCCGGCAAGACTGCCAAATAAACCAAAGATTGTATAAAAATAATTGGATCATCAAAAAATTGATTCTTTTTATCAACAAACACCACAGTCATGATAATATTAATATCATTATATATTTTAATGCAAGGAGATAACTCCTTGTGCAAAGCATGAAAACAAGTCCTACTGTTTGCAGTGTATGCTGGGTAATTACATTGTACATTCTATGTAATAGTTAAGTTGTTTTATCTATAAATCTATTGTAATGGATTCTAAAAAAATTTGCCGAAGTTTGTAAAACAAAATTTTGGGAAGATTCTTCCAAGGATTTGCAACTCTATTAGTGAAAAAGTTGTGACATATTTTACAATTATCAGTTATTTCTTGGTGTAAGCGTTTACGGTGACCGTACTTTAGGGTCTAAGGTCAATGCTTTATCATGCCAGATAACTCTATCAATTTTATTTTTAGATTTAAAATGTTGAATACAATCAAAACGCGTTCTTCTGGCTCTTAAGTGTCTTAATTAAGAAGGTGGAAGCGTTCTTCATTGCGGAATTGTTTTAGACAGTCAGGTACTTTTGTAGCTTTTTTCTGAAAACGTTCAAAGCGTTATACAGCTGATTTTGAATAACTATTATACGCTAGAGTTGCAAATTCTAAATGCGGTCTGATATAAACTGTGTATAACCTCTTTCATAATTTGTTGTCTCAACTGTTAAATGAACTTTTTATCCTAAAATGATATTAGCTTTAGATGCAATTTAGGAAACGTGTGTATTCCACTTGCCCTTTCATTCGACGTAATACCGAAATTATGCTCTTTTTCAGATTTCGAAATATTTACAGCAGTTTAAGTTGCAGCATTAAACATTTGGATATTATTATTATTTTTTACCCATATTCATCGCTTTGAATTTTTTGTGGTTCAGTTTTATGTACCATTTTTTAGACCATTCCGTAATAGCATTTAAACCTAGCTGTAGTTTGTCCGAATCTGATGCATATTTAATTTGAGCTGTAATTTTGCAATTATTCGCATACTTACAAGAGAAGAGATTGATAACTGACAATATATTCTTCTTAATAAGTTTATTCTATAAGGATTAAATAAAAGTGGATCCAAGACGCTACCCTGAGGTATACAACTAATTACGTCTGCCCAGCTGGATTCACACTTGCCAAGAACAACTCTCTGGTTTTGATTAGTAAGAAAGTTACTGAATCAGCAAAGCACTTTTGAAATAATACCAAATACTTCAAATTTGTGCATAAGACGTAGAAAGCATCGTAGAAAGCTTAAACTATCCAATGTCTTCTAATCGAGATCTAACTTTAAAGCAAATTACTCCAGTTCCTGAAAATACTCTTTCAGGCTTAACACTTGTTGGACGAATGGTCATCAAATAGTCAGAAGCTACTTGAATGTAATTCCCTAGTAAATTTTTTTGTCGAAAGGACTTTTTTTTATAACTTATTTTAGACATATTTTGTTACTTTCTTCTAAAACAGTTATTCCTTTATTCTTGTTCGTTTGTCTTTTAAGAAAAAGATGAAGTTTTCCTTCATAAAAAAATCAGTATTTGGTTTAACAGTAATGAGGCTATTATTTAAATCCGAATCTGATTCATTTAGGTGTCTTTAAATACTCTTACCAGATTTCGCTTTATTTCATAGAACATCTTCTACAATGTAAACAATAGTTTTAATAATTACGGCTTTACTGCTGATATTAAAAATGTCATACTTGTCTTTAACAGAAATAATATCATTAGGGTCTGTTATAAAGTGTAGCACGTCTGAAATTATCATTCTTCTCTCTTTAATACAACTTATCTTTCTTTAATATTTTCATCTAGCATAAATTTTAATATAAGATCGTATTCATGTAAATTAAACTTTTCAGTGCAGAGTTTTTGAACCGCCAACCAAATAGGTTGCAGGCTTAATATTATATTTGAAAGTACTTTTACTTCACTTTTATTAAAATCAATGTCAATTTTCAAATCTTTCAGACTTTTTCGAACAACATCTTTAATTTTTAAAAATCTTTCCAGCGTGCTTAACAAACTACTCCATCTAGTTTTACAGTCTAAAATTAAAGAAAGTTCTTTTCCGACAGTTCTTTTAACATATTTTTGCAGTAGTTTATCATTTTCGTTTTGTGATTTTCTGAAAAGTTTTACTTTTTTCGAGTTTTTGTAATGAAACAATTTAGCTCTGCGTTTTGTAGAACAAGTTGGGTGGTGTCGATATCTTCGTGGTCTACTTCAAAATTTTCAAGTTCAATGTCCAAATAATCAGAATCAACATTAAGTAATATATATTTTTATCATGTTCATTAATATCTTGTACATCTGTTGAACTAATGCTATAAAGTACTTTTATGATTACTATTTGTATGCGATGTACGATACATAACTGATGGTTTTAATTAAGTAACATTACGATTTTCATATTAACGACAGCTCCGTCTGATGTTATGCACACAATATTTGATGAAGCTATATTAAACTCTTTAAGCTTCTTTTCAATTAGTTCTGCGCATACCTTAGCAGGTGCAGATCCATGAATCCGAGTCAACCCAAGATTACAAAATTTGCCATCATTTCCATGAAGAATAACATTTATATACCAGCGGTTTTTTATTTGATATCTATTCATCTATGGTAAGGCTATTAGCTTTTTTATTGAGCTTATTCTGTGAAATTTCCTTTACAACTTTCATAATTATTTTATCGGTATAACCTATTATTTTTTTGTAAATGATTTTGGGGCGATTTTGGTAACTCTATGTACCCTTTTGTTTTTAGTAACATCTTTAAATCTTCAGATGTACAAAATTTATTGAAAGGAATGCCACCTTACGAAATCATTCTTGAAAGTATAAATTCAAGAGAATCGTCTCTTTTTTGATAAAAGATGTAGTTTTCGATGCTATTGCAACTGCCTGTTCTTTTGCGCGTTCTTCTATATTTTTTTAAACAAAAATTAGAGTCGTTAAGTTTACTCAAGCGTTATATTTAAACAAAAGAATGCATTCCACAATTATACTTTTAATTTTCAATCTGTTGAAAAAAAAAGAAATAACTTATTTAACATTTATAGTAACTTCTTTATTAGGTAAAAATATATAGCAACTAGAAATTAAAACAATCCTTACATAGCAAAAAGCTTAATTAATGATATAAAATTGTGTCCCATATGATTTTTTCCAAGACTTTGCACGGTACAGACGTTAGCGAGACTGGACGATAGTTGGCCGGACTTAATCGGCTTCCAGTTTTGTGCAATAGCGTGACGTTAGAAATTTTTCAAGCAATTGGGGACGCAACTTTTTTGAGTGAGGTATAAAATATTTTTGTCAACGGGTACGCTTTTGTAATTGCACATTCTTTAAGAACACATGTAATAAATATAAATCTCCAGGTGTAAACTGGTGCACACCGTTTACACCTGGAGCTTTATATTGATCGAGTTTGCTTAGATTTAAGTTATTTTATCTCAACAAACCTGGGCCTAGGAAACTAAACTGGTCATTTGATTCCTAAATTCCGGCGTCGGTAAAAAAAAATCTTAATTAACAAAAACAGATTTAAAGTACGAATTTAAAATATTACTTATCTCTGGACCTGAAGTACTAATAATGCCATTTGAATCTGCCTAGTGTTGATTTTCTTTTTTATTTTTTGCTTTGATTTTATGTAGCTGTATAACCGTTTCTTGGAATTAAATGAAATATTGTCTTTTCATAGTTTCTGATGCATTGTTTTGTATACTTTTAGATTGAAAACTTGCATATATCAATCGAGAGTTAATACAATTCGGAATTTGGTTTGCTGGACTAAAATTCATAAATGTTTTTTTTTATTTTTGCAATAAAATTACGTAGCTGGTCATTCATTTATAGTGATTAAATTTTGCAAATTAATTTCTTATTACGAGGTATCCACCTTTTACACAAACGTTTATACTTAATGAGAAAAACATTTTAACACGAAAAGATTTATACTTAATGAGAAAAACATTTTAACACGACCATCCCTGTTACTGCAGTATAGTTTATAGCCATGCAAGTGCATTAAGCTGTTGATATTAGCCCAAGTTTTAGTTATAAAAGCAAAATCATATATAAAAGTGCCTGTTAGGGCTTCAAACAGAAACAGTTTGTTTTTGGGTGAGCAAGAATTTGTCTAGTAACAGTCGAAATAATTTGAATTAATTTCTTGGCGATTTCTTTGCTGCTTTGTTTGAACAGTATTGAGCTGAGGAATATAGTTTTATAGTACTACTGACATTATTGTGTTTTGATTGCTTTTTAGAGTGCAATGTGGAAATTTTGCCATTCAACAAATGGGTGTATTGAATTGCCGTTGATTTCAAGGGTCTTATATACATCAATGCAGGGGTCCGTATTACTGCGATGACAAATTGAAATGGGTTATCAAGATTACCATGCTTTTCAAGGTCATCGTTTGCAGTTTTCTTTTTAATGTTAAGCTTTTTAAACTCAGCTTGTTCCGCAATTGTTCGATCAGGTCTGATAAAAGCATTATTGCGTTTAGTTTTTAAAATGTTTGATGCTGCTGCTAATACCATATTTCTTGATTATATACATTTAAATTGAAAAATAATTGAATTTTTGCTGTTGCTGGCAGTTGAGCCATTTATTTTATAGTTGGTTGAACTGAACCTTTAGCATTTGCAGAAATTGCACTAACGAGAGCTGTGTTAGTTTGCAAACCTGGCTTAGCTAAGGCTGCTCCAAAGTTACTGTATTTTGAACTTACTGCTAGTGCCTTTTAAACAGACCTTTTTTTCTCAAGTATTTCAAGTTTTAATTTCAAATCATTCATTACGACTTCTTTATCAATGACAGTTTGCTCAATATTGACAATCTTCTATTATCTAGGTTTTGACTTGGTTAATTGCAAAAGCAATTAGTTCTTTCACTTTAGTTTCTTAATTGATCCAAGAGCCTTTTTATGTTGATAGGAGGGCTACCACCCTTATCAGCAAATTAACTCCTGGTCGTAAAATGATAAGTTATTAGCTTATCTTGTTAACAAAAATAGAATTGTTATTTTTTTTTTTTCAATTAAAATTTTTTTTTTGTTATTCAAAATAAGTTTTTCAATAAAAGAATGAATAAATTACATAAAACACATATAATAACAATTACAAATTTTGTTAACTTTTCAATAAGAACACAAATACTCTCCAAAGATCAAAAATTAATTACAAATAATACACAAATAATATATACCAAAACAAACTTATCGTTATTATTCGTATAAATCACGTGAATACAACAGATAGATACATAATATTTGTTGTAGGTATAAAATAATACATAAAGCAGTCAAATTTAAATTTACATAGTAAAATTTGAATGTACAATGTAAATATTTATAAATATAATTGAAATATCAGAACTCGCGAGTATAAAATATAAGATGTATCTAAAATAATACATACGCGTCCCAAATATATATAACAAAAACAAAAGTTGCGAAAGTAAATTTATATATAAGTTAACATGAAAGATTACGTAATAAATAGATTACGTAATATAAATTACGATAAAAGATTTCTTAATAGAATTAATAATCAAAGAAAACAAACTTAAATATATATAAGAATGCTTTCCATTGAGAAAAGAGTTTTTTTCAATTTTTTTCTAAATAAGAAAAAGTTCCATTCTTGAGAAAATTAAAAAGTTTTAATTTTTCTTTGTTCCAAAAAAATGCTCCTCTAAATGAAATACAAAACTTACCCAAATTTAATTTGAAAAAAAAAAAAATTTATTACGAAAGTTGTATTCATTTTTAACTTTAAAAAAATATAAACTATTAATAGAAATCGGAGATGTGTGAATTTTAGATTTAAACATAAAACACAATACATTAAAAATATGAAGTTGATATATATTAAAAGTATTTATTTACTTAATAGAAACTTGGCATGATAAAAAACGATGTTTAAAATTTAATAAGTCATGCAGCATGGTTTTGTTGGCAATAAAGTGGTTTTAATTAATTTTTAATACTTACCCAACCCGCATTTATATAGTTTAGATGGCAATGAATAAAAGAGTGGTATATATATGATATAAAGTATGTTTATTTAGCATTATTCTTTATGAATTTTATAAATTTTAGTCCAGCAAACCAGATTCAGAATTTTATTAATTCTCGATAAAAAAAAACAGGTTTGCAAGCTATTCACTTGGTAGAAAATGTAATTTGTAGCATGGATAAAAAGAGATCATTTTGTATTTTCAACGTTAGGAAAAAATTTATTTAATTTAAACCATTGAGAGGTTTTAATTAATTCTTTATTAATACTTTGAAATAGTCTCGTTATATATAGCAAGCATAATTGTCATTAAACTAGATGCTTCATAAAGATCATTTATATAAATGAGAAATAGTATAAATAGAAATAAAAATAGAGGTCCTTGAACAGACCCTTGAAGAATTCCGCGTTTTATATCTAAAATATTTGATTTTGATGAACAATTGCTTTTTAGTGCTTAAATAACTTTTTAATAGCTTCAAAACATTGCAAAAGATTCCATAGTATTTAAGTTTTTTGAATAGAATTTTATGATCAATCTTATCAAAGACTTTAGATAAATCAATAACAATGCACTAAGTAAATTGGCATTTTTCAAATGATTCAGTCATATGTTGTGTTATTTGGAATATAGCGTGTTCAGCAGAGTAATTTTTTTTAATCCATATTGATTTTTGTATAGGATATTATTTTGAGAAAGATGATTAAAACTTTTGTTATAAAGAACTCTCTATATACGTTTTAAAAGATAGAAAATCAGAATTTTTTTTGAGAGAAAGAGAACAGATATTGAACGATAGTTACTAACATTACTTTAGTCTACTCTTCACTCCAATTATGTATTTTGGCCTGATCTGGCCTCTTTTGCAAGAAGTTTGACCAATCACCTAAATCAAAAAAAAGACTCGGCTTGTGTCCTTTAATTACGACCTATTTAGGATTTCTGGTTAATCATTAATCGACTCCGTGTATCAAAAAATAAGGAAGCAGAAAATGAAGATCAACTTCAAAAAAAAAATTTGTTCTTGATTAAGAAAAGTCCATCACAATTTTGTTCAACGTACGTGCGAACTTGTATACAGAAAAGTTGACGCAGTACGTCGTAATGGCGAGAATATATTATTTGAACCCCTTAAGTAGAAAATAATCACTTTGATTAATATTCTGTATTAAATTTTTTGTTTATTAAATTATTCTTTGCGCTGTTACTACTTAAAATTAATTTGTGCCAAATCTTTGTCACCAGAGTTATCACGACAAAAATAATTTTCTTTAAAAGCATTACTCGTTACTATTAACAAGCCGCTCTTGAAATTTAGCAAATCATTCCAATGATACTAACGATTTAGCGTTTTTTAAATTTTAATGAGTTTGCATTTTATAAGTCTCCTTTAGATAGGTATAAAAAAGCAAAAAAGTAAATTTTTTTTGTCTTTTATTGTTTTTATTTTTTTAAATATAATAAGAATGTGGGATTGGGCAGATGATTTTGTGATATATAGGATAACAGCTGGACTGTCACTACTGCTGCACTGTTTATTTATTTGGCTTTTTTACTACTGGTGTTGTAGAATGGCTAGAACACGATCACGCATAAAAATCTCTGAAAACATTTTACCAATTTTTCAAAGTGAAAGTCATAAATTACTGGTTGATGTTTCTAATTAAATAGCTACTTCAGAAAAAAAAAAAAAATAATAATAAAACTTCAGAAAGCAAAATAATAAACGTTTATCAGGAACCGCGTTTGGTTAAGAAATATCTGTTTCATTTTATAAAATTATTTTGGGTTCACAAAATGATACTTTTTGTTAATGAACAGACTGTTTTACTGGTTTTTATCATTTTACTGTAAAATGGGCGCTTGAAATTAAAAAAAAACTTTTAAGTTTTCGTTGAGTTTCAACTTTTGAGTAAACAGTAACCTCCATAATAATAACCATGACAACGTAATGATTGTTGTCTAGACTTCCGCGTTCAGAAAAAGTTGTAAACATTTATTTAAGTAGATTTCAGTCGAAGAACGACATTTTTTAAGTAAAATTTATTTTATTTTCATGCATAAGATATATTCAATTTATAATACTTACGATATTATTTATTTTATTTCATAATAGAGTTTGTTTATTAGAAGTCTCGAAAGAGTTTTGCTCATTTTTTGGAAATACACTGTCAATATTAGATACATTGTCAATATTTACAATTTACAATATTAAATACATTGTTAGTATATAGTTTAAATAGAGAGATATTTTTTACCTCAAAACCCTGTGAAAATATTCGTAAAGAGAAAGGTTCAAAAACGAAAGAGCCGTTTGAAATAAATATTAGAAGAGTTATTGCCTTGCAAGAGATTGGTGTGGGGTTTGAAACCATAGAAAGATTTCTTTTTTGCTTAAGCGTGTTTAGGATCGCAAATAATTGTTATCAACGTCACAATTAAGATTCTCTATAGGAAGCATATCGTACAGCAGCTAGTGAAAGCATTCTAGAAGCTGCTGATAGCTTTTATTTTAATTCTGATTGCCCAGTAATGTGCTAAAATAAAAAATGTGTTACCGTTGATTGAACCTGGTAAACTCGAGGATATTCCTCCCTTCATGGAGTAGTAACAACAATCATTGATAAAAAATGTATTGATGTTGAAGTACTTTCAAAGTTTTGCCATGGCTGTATCTCTTGGGAAAATAAAAAATCAACTCCTAAATATGCAGAATGGTTTTTAAAGCTTTAATGCACTATTAACATATGTTGGTTCTTTTGGTGCTATCCATTAAAACAAACGAAAACAATCGCATCGGTAGTCATATTAAATGAGATGATAA